AGTTTATTTTTAATTTTTAAATAGAATCCACTATTAAAATGCATATCAAATATCACCTTTATAATTAAAAAATCATTTTTTCTTTTTATGTAATAATTCTTTTACGTAAAACATATTCTTAATAATATGAAGAAAAATCTTTTACTAGCGCTTTGTGTCACACTGTTGCATTTATCACGGCATTTGTCACAGCTTCATTTATTTCTCCGTGATAATGTAACAAGTGTATATAAAAGTTAGTTTTATTGATAAGTCATTATTGTGCTGCGTTATTCTTACTATCGTAGTTTGCAATTAATCACCAAAAGAGATCTAATGTAAGCTGACAATTTTTAATATGTCTTCTTTTTGTTAGTAATTTACTACACGTGTGGCCTGAGTATGTTTTTTCGTATGGTTTGCATTCTTTTTCTCAAACAAAATTCTATTCCACGTCTATGACCCAAGACAAAACAGGCATATATAAGATGTTTAATAGATTATATAAGCTATATATGAGTCAGATATAAACTAAAATATTTAATTTAAAAATACACATATTGTTTATAACACCATACATCTAACTGGAAGAAAATGTCATATACTTTTTTCGTTTTTATCCTTATGTATTTATAAATCGCGACAAAACATGTGACAGAATTTTATTTACTTCTTTCTGCGCCGCATAATGTAGAAAAGGTAGAGAAAAGAATCAGGACGAAGTACACAATATACAGAATCCTGGCCCGAATCATATAGATCGTTTAAAATAAAATTTTTTATATACGTTTTACAAAATGATAAATTTTACTGACAATCTCAGCAATACCAAGGAAAAATTGTGAGGCATATTTTTATTAATTTTACAAAAAAGATTGAAATTTCGTTTCTGGATTCTGACCATACTGTTAGAAAGAACGAAAAGAAAGAAAATAACAATTAAAATAGATCACATAATATTATGTCATTATATAAAACATTATGTAATGAGTAATGATTAATGGATAAACATTTTCATAAAGAGTACTCAGAACTTACAATCTTTTTTGTCAGAATATCAGCATCAAGAAGTCGATAAGGTATGCGGGTATAATGTGGAAAAAGAAGACGAATAAATTGTGCACAAATTTGTTGCTACGTATATTGCCGTCAGGATACCAAATCTGTCCTTCAAAAGGATATTTGTAAAAAACACGCCTACCCATTTCAAGTATCTCACCGAATTTGGCCTCTGTTATTCTGCCTTGCGTTACGTTGAACACGAGTATACTTTTTGATCTATAAATGGATTAACAATTGTAAGCTGGCAAAAGAGAAATTTAAACGTTACGAATTTTTTCAAAATTAATAATAACATTATTTTATATTAAATATTATAAGAAATAGTAGTAGAAAAGAAATAGTTTATAAATTATAG